CCGTTTCTCAATTCTCAGCCTTTCATTTATTAATTTGAGAGAAAGGGTGTGAGGTCCAAATGGATGTTTATTAATCTGCTTTTGTGAGCACTCTCACTAATGTGCCAACATGCACTGAGGTTCATCCCTCTGCCCTGCCCTGCAGAAAGAGATGTTCTCCTCTGGACATTACCCAGTCCTTCCAATATCGTAATTACAGTAATATCCTGGAGGGAGGCTGCGGAGTCTAAATGACTTCCACATCATGGACAACACATGGCAAAGGCACTTTCCTCCTCTCTGCCCTGCATTTGTTTGGTTAGACCACGTGGACCACAGGTGCCAATGACAGAAGACATTCCTTTATGAAACTAAGAAGCTTCTGCTATAGGTCAGTGATTGTGAATCACAAAGAACACAAAACTCTAAGCAGATCAGTAGCTTTTTTGACCTTTATATCTTTTGTGTCTATTTTGACCTGCGTAGAGAATATCCAAGTTTAATATTTCTCTTTAAACATATAATGCACTGTGAATAAGCTAAATACATGAGTACAGTGAGAGCTTTGAGAAGCTCTTCTCATTTATCCGTTTCATTCAGCTGTTCGTGCGTTCATTCATAATCCTTTGCGGTCTTTGGTTTATACAAGAACATCCGCTCTATTCAGGTTCAGAGGCGATTATTGAAAGGTGTTCTAGCACCTAGTCAAAGCATTACGGATGTGAAAAGCACATTAAATCAATCATCACCTTGTCCTCTAAGAGGCAGAGTTAAGACCTGTGTGCTTGTCTTCAGTGACCACCGTTGGTCAACGGTTGGTCAAGCTTCTACTAAGATTATGGGGCAGCTCGTCCTGTTTCACCAGAAATAGCTCAACCCGTTAATCCTCTAATTGAGCAGAGGTGACATGAACGGCGTAAGGATTAGCCGTCGCTGAGAGAGACAGTGGCCAGGTGAAAGTGCTGCCTGCTTTACAGGTCTCTGGGTCAGGCAGAAATGTAACACCAGTAACCCTGTGCACAGTAGGGCTGCACAATTAATCGAATTTCTAATCGCGATTACAATTACGGATGTCACAATTATGTAATCGTTCAAAGTCCACTTATGTTATTCTGTGTGCTTAAGATGTGTTTTTTCTTAAGTTATCTTAAGGGTTTTTCCATTGTTTTAATTTTAGTTTTAATATGACATTATAATACCATGCATATTTTAACTTTTTTTAGTTAAAGAAGAAACCAATCCAAGGAATAGATGCCATTTGAGGCTTAATACTATAGAAAAGCAATAAAGGTTTTTCAGTTTGAGGGTTTTCAGCTTGTTTATTTTCATCTAAAAATATGGCACGCGGTTGCTTCAAACAATGGTATAAACATCATTCAATGTAAATTGTGATAATCGTAATTAATAATCGCAATTACAATTTCAAGGGAATAATCGACAATTATGATTTTTGTCATAATCGTGCAGCCATAGTGCACAGTTTCCTTTGATTGTGTGTTTTACCTTGCAGAACTGCTATCAGAGAGGGAATTGTACTGTGAAAAAGAGGGCTTGCTCACTGTATGTGTGAGGATTCATGGTGGGAACTAATTCTTGTTTTCTTAGTGATCATTGAATCTGTGGTCACAGAATTTAACCTTCTGTTATACATAAAATTCTACACATCCTCTTCCTTTTTGTGTTTATTTATTATATATTTTGGCTAATTTGATTATGCTTTCAGCTATTCAAAGTGTAGAGCTCTCAGTTTTGCACATTTATATTGACGGGCTGGATACAGATTCCCTGATTTGTTTTTAATGTCACTTTGATTCTATTTGATTTATTTGGGTGTTTTTCTTTTTTATGTCCAAATTGTTTACAATAATAAAATGTCTCTCTCTATTAAAAAACTTTTTCAGACTAATTACATTGATGTTTATGGCAGGATATTGTTACAGATTTCCTGATTCCATTCAGATTCACAGCAATTCTATTTGATTCTAATTTTTATTGAATTGTGATTCATTTGGGTGTTTTTCAGTTATAATGTCCATTTTCCTTACATTTGAAAGAAATCCTCTCTCTGCTGAAGCTGTATAGGACAGTGTTTCAGACTGAAATCTGTAACTTAAGAACTGAATCGTAAGAGTCATTTGTTTCGTGAATCAGGCTACACTATTTGCGTTGCATGTTTTTGATTCACAATCAAAAACTGACTTATAAGAGTCATTTATTTTGATTCAGACTAAACTGGTTGTATGATTTTTGTCAGAGTAAGTAAAATCTTGATCCTTAGAAATCAATATCAGGATTTAAATAAAGAACCAGAAAATCAATATTTTTATCTAGTGCTACTTAAAAATTTGGCAGATGTTTTTTAAAGTGATTAAAGATTTAGATTTTAATTGATTTTAAATTGTATTGCTTTGTATTGCTGTGTGAGATACATGAAAATTATGTATCTTATATGTACATTTAACAGAAATGCACAGATTTTCCCCTTAAAATCAATGTGTCAAAAAGTCTAGGTTTTGTCTAGGCCTTGAGACTCCTATGAAGGTGCTTTCTTCTTTGTGGAAAGACTGTTGTGATGTGCCCTATTGGCTTTTGAGTATTTCCACGACATTCTAATTTATTGAGATGCACCTGTATAATTCAAAGCCAAAAATTCCCTGGAACAAAAAAGAACAATGAAAACAGGCAATGTGTGTAACATTAGGAGTGAGAAAAAGCAACTCTATCTCTGGAGCTTGGCTAAGAAACAGAATAATGCTTGCAGCTAACAAACCCAGAGTTGCTATCGGATGAGGAGCAGTGGAGAAATTCAATCACATCAGTTTCGTATAGAGAGAGGGAGAGAGGGAGAGAGGAGAGAGGAGAGAGTTGAAGATATAGCAACACTAATGCAATCAGCATCAGCTGAGTCAGAGCTTTGGCCTGGGATAAGACTCCACACAAGCAGTCTCCATCTACCAGTAACATGGCCACTCAAAACACACGCGCACACACACACATGTTGTGTTTCCATGTTTTATGGGGACATTCCATAGGTGTAATGGTTTTTATACTGTACAAACTGTATGTGCTATTACCCTACACCAACCCTACCCCTAAACCTACCCCTTACAGGAAACTTTGTGCATTTTTACTTTCTCAAAAAAACTCATTCTGTATGATTTATAAGCTTGTTTCCTCATGGGGACCTCAAAAATGTCCCCACAAGGTCAAAATTTACTAGTATTACTATCCTTGTGGGGACATTTGGTCCCCATAACGTGATAAATACCAGGTACACACACACACACACACAACGTGATCATCCTCAAGATCTATTCCCCCAGGATTTGATTAATGTTATTTCAAGTTCTTTGCCCAGTCTTCCATGAGACACTTCAGACATGCTTCTAGACATTAGACTTAGTAATGACCAGCGGTATGATTTTTAAAAAAGACCTTTCAACCTCCTATTCATTTCAGTGGACATTGATATAATTTGTTAGAAATGGAATGTAAAACTCCACTGTTAAAAATCAGCTCTTGAATTTGAAGATTAAAATCTATTTGAAGAAATATTCCCTTGAAAAGAGCTGGACAAATTTCAGAATTTCAGAATTTATTCATGAGGGTGAATTTGAATAGATTTGGCCATACAACCCACAGGATTTAGAATTTAATTAACAGGAAGATTGACAGGAAGAGGATCTTTGGGATCCTTTGAAGACATTCTGGGAAGCAAAATGGACAACATGGAAAATAGATAATGGATCACAGTGGAACATTATCATAAAATATACTGTAATTAATTATACACTCTCAAAAAATAGGTACTGGTACCCAAAGGTGCAAAAGGTACATTGTATATCATTTAACCCTAAATTATACATATTCATACCTTAAAGGTATATATTAGTACTTTAAAATTACATATTAGTACTTAAAGTGTACTTATTAGCCCCAGTGACAGTTTTGTACCTTTTCTCTGAGAGCGTATACATTTATGGGTCATTTTAGAATGAAATACAAAATGCATTATTAAAAACCAAACAGCAGTTATATGAACTTCTTTACATTTTATTCCATTTTAATTCTTGGCTACTACATTCCAATGTGAATTCTGCATCTTTTGGTTCTGCATCTGCATACTGATGCTAAAACTATTCGCATTAACGCACATTTTGGCAAAATTCTGCAAGTAGCTGCAAGTCATTTTGTCAGAAAAGATGCAAGATTTTTGTCTTGATGTTTGCCTTCCTGGTGGGTCATCATGCATCTTGGGCAGATCCTGCTGGGAACCTGTTAATTAGCCGGATCTCTGTCAAAGCTCTGCCTGGCTGCTTGCTTTTAAGATCATGCATTAAGAGGTTTTAAGCTACTTAGTCTCACACACCAGAGAGATCTCATGGTTTGGATCCACCTCACTTTATTGTATTTCATAGTCATTTGTTTAGTAAAAGGAAAATGTGTTTTCTACACTGTGTCTAATGAGACTATTAGAGCCACAGATTGCCATTATCTTGTTCCTATGTTATTATTCTCCTCTCAGCGGTTGTCATGATACCTCCTCATAGTCAAGGCAAGATTACAGATTGGGCATGTGAGGCACAAATCCTGGGGCCCCGGACTCTCAGGGGCCGCATGCAGTGCGATCACGTATAAATCAATCAGAGGTATCTTAAAAAAGTAAAACAGGACTCAACCCACTCTGCCACGGCCACCCTTCTGGACCGGCACAGTGGCACCTGTTTGTTTCATGTATTTGTAAGGGCCCCATAGACATTAGTAGACATTTTTAAAGGTAAAATGTTAGAATCTATCTATCTATCTATCCATCTATCTATCTATCTATCTATCTATCTCACACATAATGCACTAAGTAGGGTAAAACGAAGGTTTAATTGCAGTCTCTCTGTGCCGAATGTTTCTAGTCAGCTTTCATTCGTGACTCCTAGCCTATATGAGCTTCTTTTTTTAGGTGTTGCTGTACCTCTCTAAAAGAAGCGATATGGACCCTGACACAGTAGCAGCGGTCCCATTCGGCGTAGTGACATCTTATTAAAGCGGTACCACGTAATCCTACCAACACCCTCCCTTGCTTTAAATCCGCTCGTCCGGTGCAGTTCCGTAGACGCACAGCCTCCTCCTCCAGCAGAGCAGCGCCGCGCCGCGGCTCGTGTACCTCCGGTAACATGGTGTGCAGCGCGCGGCAGCAGTAGACAGTATCGCTGGACCGTAAGAGAAGGCGCTCGCACTGCTTGTTCTGCTCTCCTTCCACAACATATCAACACATCGAGGGAAACTTTGCATTTCTTGGACACGGTAAGCCAGATATGATGACCAATCAACGCGTCCTGATTACTTAACTGTAAAATATTCATATATTTTTTTAATTCTTAATGACGGAACGTTGGCTCTCCTCTTGCAGTGAGTCTGTATTGTCAAATAGCAACCCATCATAACCACGCGGAAAATAACGGGCTCTGTTTGGGATATAGGGAACTATTGAAATTAAAGCCCGCAGTTGCAAAAAAGCGACAAAACAACTGTAATTAAAAAGAAAGACATAAAATAACGCGAATGTAAAACGCATTATTTCTGTTCCATTGATTGATAGTTCACAACACAGGATCGGGGTCATTGTGCGTCCTCCATGTCGTGTGAACAGTACTTTATGAATGAATTGATAGTTTTGCGATTATGGAGGACGTAAGGAATGTTTAGATGGGTCAGGTGTCGCGCTTGACGGATGTGCGCGCTTCCAGTTATTCTGTTTGGATAGTCAGGCGATGCTATTGTTCAAACTGAGCTTCTGAAGAGCTCGAGGAAGCGGGACATAAATCCTGCGCAGGCAACCCTCGGCTGCTGGGATCAGTCATTAGCCTGCTCGAAAAGTGGTCAATGCAAAAATATTCTGAAGCAATTATCTACAATGTAAATTGAATTATTATGGCGAGTAGCATACTGTTCGGCAACGTGCATTAGGCTGCAGTAGACTCCAAAAGCAGTAGCGTACAATGTTAATAATCAACAATAATCTCGAAAAAAGTGACATATTTACCCGTCTACTGTAGCACAAGTGAGTGTATAGCCTCTTTTATGACGCAGTGTTACGATGCTTTTAAAATGAATATTTTTAATAGTAGCATTGGCTACTGTACGATATTTATAAAACCCCTACTACCAACAGACGGCAGCATATTTCTTATTGCTTCACAGATATTAAATAAAAATAATAAATAAATAAATGAGAGCGAATATGTTTATTTAAAACTAATTTGAGTGATTTAGTGACTGCAATGAAATGTCATTGGATAGTTTTGGTCCAATATATATA